AAGGCTATTTTTTTGAGTTTGAAACGTAAGTGATTGCAGGGAAAGTTGCACAATTAGAATGAGATGTGCTCAGCTTTGACCAACAGGCTGATGTTAAGAACAACATTGCTGTGAGTTGATAGAGAGAGGAAGAGAGAGCTAAGAACTGCCAGGCTGATTATACTACCTGGGTGATTTATAAACAACGGAATGGTGCTTTCTGATCGAAAAGAGGAGAGCCCCATAGGGTGCAAATATAAGGCACTGGCAGGGTAATTTAGAAGAAAAACCAGCAAAGCATATGCCAAAATGGCACAGGGAGGGAGCGCTAGTCAGTGTTGCTGGATTTCAGGTGTTGGTTCCTTTCAAAACTTAAGATACAGCCCAAAATATATTTTACTTCAACAGTTTTATGGAAGAAGAGCAATAATTTTAGCACCAGGGCTCTATGATGCTTGAGATGACATCTGAGGCAAGAGGTGCCTTTATCCATTTATTTTCAAGGAACAACAGGAATTTGAAGAGGGAATGAAAAGCAATCTTTTTCTGGCTAAGAGGTATATTTACAAGACAATTTGATTCGTTCAGCACAAATGATCCTGGGTAGATTCTGAATTCACCATCAACATGGCATTAAATACAGAATATTTCCTGTGTGCTCCCATTCATGCCAAGTCAATATTGCTACCAAACCTCTTCAAGATTTATGTCTAAACAGCTAGCAATGTCAGGCATAATTTTTCACAGCCCATCGCATGTCCATAGAGCTATGTTTAATTATTGTGCTTCGCCTTGGTCCTGCATGTGCACTAAAGGTATCCAGATAGCAAGAGTGCATGAGTTGGCCTTATCTCATAGCAGCTAAACCAAGAGATTAACCTTCTATAGGCTACACCTCTTGAGCAGCCCGATCTTGACTGTTCCTCCCTTTTCTTTGAAAAGTGTGCAAGAATTATCTTTGTTAGGCAAGAGATGCAGTGAAACCTATGTATCAGTGAGTAGAATCGACCCACCATTCTGTGAAGATTTCAGTTTATTTAACTCAGCTCAGCTCAAAGCACTGTTCTCAGTTGACTCCTTTTTATAGCTCGCGACCTTTTATCAAGGTTTACAACTGCCAGCTGCACTCAGAAAAATAACAGGCTGTCATATACAATAACTGAACCAATTGCAGAGGCTGATTATTTTAGTCTTTCTGTGTTTGACCTCACTTAAGCTTGTTATGAGCAGAAAAACCACAACAAATTGCAAAACATTTGCAACACATTAGCCAGAGGCTCTGTGATCACAAATTGTTCCTCATTTAAAGGAGCAGCTAACAAGACAAAACAAAATATGTTTGTCAAAAAGGAAGACTGTCCACTGTCTAAATTATGAGAGAAATACTTTAACAACGTCATTTGACAATCTGGGGGCTCTCCAGCAGATCAGAGCAACATCGACTTACAGGATAAATAGTTCTTTTCAAGGTGTTAATGAGGCTTCATTCCTTAATTCCTGCAGCAGCATGCAAGTTCCTGCCCATCCAAATGGATGCCCGCAGAGACAAGAATGATATTTGGAGTCTTGCCTGAAATGATTAAATTGAGGCTGATACTAGAAACTGCAATCATGCTGAATTGATGCATTTTAGTTTTGAACTGCATGGAAAATTTAGGTATTTGCATCAAGTTTTGCCACTGCCTTTTGCTGAAATTCACATTACATTCCCATGGGAATACTGGGCATATTAGTCATTTGGATAGAAAGGGAGAGAACAAAAGGAGGATCGCACCCATCATTACCCTCTGACTCAGACCTGCACATGAAAGCAGATCTTTATAGACTCACCTTCATAGGAGAAACTGCAGCAGAATCTTATCATGTTATAACCTAACTATTGGTCAGCCTGCTCCTTCACATTGTTCGAGTCTGTTCTTAACACTTAGTGTTCAGACTGATTCTAGGCAGTCACAGGGTACATGGGCAACATCAACTCATCCACACATTAAGCATTGCCAGAGCAATTACATCATTTTCCAGCAGACCACCAGCAACAACAGGAAAAAACCCTCCACTTTTTCCAAAATGACATGATTTTCCAAGGGCAGAACATCAACGATTGTATTCATATGAAGGGGTAGCACTGTCAACTAAAGTTAACGTTTGTGTAAAAGTTAGAGATGAGCTTGGTTCAGAATTGGTTTGGATGGAGATGAGGAATAGTAGCGAAAAGAAGTCACCAGTGGGAGTGGTCTACAGACTCCCTGACAGTAACCACAATGTGGGACAATATACAAGAAGAAATATTTGGTGCTCATGATAAAAATAAAGCAATAATGATTAGTGACTTTAATCAACATCTAAACTGAAAAAGATCAGACTGGCAGTAGTAACCTGCATGAAAAGTTCATAGAATGTTTTAGTGAGAGTTTCTTGGAGCAGTATATTTTTGAACAGACCAGAGAGTAGGTGATATTAGACTTAACATATACAATGTGACAGGATTAATGATCTCAAGGGAAACGCACCTCTAGGTGCCTGATTCAATATGATTGAATTTTATATCCAGTTTGAAACAGTGAAAATTGGGTCGAAAATTAGTATTTTAAACCTAAATAAGGTCAACTTTGTGGGCATAAAACCTGAGCCATCTGAAGTTAACTGGCATATTAGGCTAGCAGACAGATCGACAGAGATGCTGTGATAAGCGTTTAAGGGATATTTCCAAACACTCGGAACAAGTATATTCCTACAATAAAGAAATATTCCAAAGGGAGGATTCACCATCTGTGGTGAATTAAAGGAGTTAAGGAAAGCAAACTTAAGGAAAGACCATATAGCTGCACAATGATGGGAGACACGTCACATGATAGATCAGAATTTTACAAAAAGGCAGAGAATGATTAAAAGATTAATCAGGCTGAATAAATGAGAGCATGAGAGAAATCAGATAGGAATGTTTCTGAGTTCGATATGACTCGAAGCAAAGACTGTTCTTCAGTTAACTTTGTTTCTCTTTGCACAGATGCTGCCAGAAAAGCTGAGTTTCTCCAGCACTTTCTGTGTTTGTTGTAGATTGTTAGATAGTTTAGATAAGTGAATCAAAGGCTTTTGAGGAAGATAGGAATGTGGAATTCAAAACACAAACAGATCAGCCATGATCTTATTGAAGGCAGAGTAGACTTGAGGGGCCGAATGGCTTATTTCTACTCCTATTTCATATATTAGTGAATAGCATCTTCATGAAATGCAAAGAAGGTTACTCATTGAATGTTTTTTAAAGTAACAATGTCTTCAGTTTAAGGCAATCCACTGTTTCCATTATTTCACCCATTAAAAGTCAAGTTATAAGCAAATAATGCTCAAACAAGTCATAAGCACAGTTACATTGCAGAACCATAATTGGTTTTTCCTCATGTTGGATAAATTATTTTGACCCCACACTGGACAGATTACTTTGAGCAATTTGATTAGCTCATCTCTCCATTTATTGATGGGCTCTCCTGACATGTTTCTTCAGGATTTCTCCTCAAGCCCTTGATTGTTCTTCATTAGAAGCTTAGGTAGCTGCTTTTCATAAGAGTGCCCTGGCACAGTAATTAACGATTGCTATTAACAAATTTAAATTGTACATTAATCAGGTATGACTACAACATAGATTTTACCCATCACACATTTCACATGGAATGTCTAACAGAATGTGTGAATAGTATTATGGAATGTGCACTTACATGAAGTTTTCTAATATTACTTGATTCTCCATGACATTTCATTTTGCCAGTTAGGACCAAGTGCAGCAAGGTTAGATTCGACTGAGGCAAGGTGAGAGGGCGACGTACCAAGGCAAGCAGGCGGAGGTTGAGAGAGAGGGGTATAGAGCACAGGCTGATGTGGCAGAGCAAGGTTCATAATACTGTTTGAAATCAGACTCTGGGCTACAACAGAGGTCAAATTCAGAAACACAGTCAGTGCAGGAGGTTTAGTGGAAGATGTGGAGGTAGGCAGGCCAAGGACTTGAACCAAAAGCTGCACCTACAGGTGCCCAAGAGCTGGATAATTGAGGTATTAGTGGGCCACCATAGCCTACATTGTATAATATTGAGGACAAAGAAAATGTAAAAACATCTGATCATTTTGGGTATTTCATCATGTGTCATCACAACTGGAAGATCAGCAGAAGCCAGTTGAAAGCTTTGTACAAGGTTTTAGACGAGCAAAACATTATGGAAGAGTTATTGAGCAAAGCCGAACTGAGTTGTTTAGAACTGATGGATACAAGGGTGGATAACTACACTCTGTTGAGCTGCAGCAGGACACCCAAACCAGTGAGACTTTCATTTTAAGAATGGTCATCTTTGTTTTACATTCCTTATATTATAAAAGATATGAAACTTGTGGTGTTCCTATTCACTTCTGGGACAGATAGGAAGTGTGGTACTCTCTGACAGAAACTAATATTGAACCTAGATGAAGGGAGACAGTTATGTAACTTTAACTTATAAGCAAAGAAAATTAATTGCACTGGAACCTTTTTCAAAACAGCGCCGACAGGTGTAATTAGTACCACAGCTACTTACTGCGGATGCTTTTATAATAGATCTTGACATATAAACCCGACAGAGATGTTTTCCATGAACTCTGAGAATGAACGTTTTGATCCATCCAGTGATTTTCATATAGAATAGATTATAAGAATGTATTAGCATATGTCGTGTGATGTTGCTCTGGTGAGTTGAAGGAATTGCTTATTTGTAATGACAAGTGCAGTACAGCATGTAAGACACGATGCGTTATTTCAAGGGCAAATCTGTTCCTCACCAGCCCAATAACCACTTGGCAAGCCTTTATAAAGCCTTTTACCAATTCTTGCCTACTTTCCCTATTCTACTGTAAGTTGCATTAAATCGGCCATCACCTGCTTACCAGTTAGGACCAAGTGCAGCAAGGTTAGATTCGACTGAGGCAAGGTGAGAGGGCAATGTACCAAGGCAAGCAGGTGGAGGTCTTTGCAAGACTTTTTAATTAAAATATGAAACAGCTTTTGTTTTTTTTTCACCAAAATATTTAATTAGTTGTTTTATGTACAATAAATAACAAAAATAGCGACAACTTCGCCAAAATAATGCAAGATTAAAATAGCCAGAATCAAACATTTTTCCGCATAGCTTCTTGAAGTGAACAGCTTGAGCTGTCAGTAAATTGGAAGCATACAACTGTCGATACAGTCTTGAATTAGACTTTCTGTGCAACAGAGGAAAGTAACTAAAAATTCAAAGAAAGGAGGTCATTACCATTTAAGGTGGACACCATGCAGTTTAAGAAATCATAGCGTAGCTTAGCAACTGAAAAATTACAACAGTTACAAATGCTGAATGCAGTCAAGATTTGTTTTTAAATACCATATTAAATACATTACTACATAAAGAGAATTGAGAAACACTACAGACTTTGGATAATGTCAAATATATAACTTGGACACTGAGATTCAAAAGAACACTGAAAATGCAAAAGGTCAGAAGTGGCAGTGCTAAAAGCTCATCACATTTGCTATGTCATATCTTCACGACGGAAGACAGTATTACAGCTCCAATAGAGCATATTCACCCCGTAACATAAATACAAAGCTCAGTGAGAACAGAAGTTTGTAAAATTTAGAAAACAAACAGAATTTAAAATATCACTGTGTTTCTCTTGCAATGTTACTCTTGATCTTTGAAACACTGATTACAGTAATATTAATGGGCTTAGCTTCTCTCTCACATCAATTAGTTTCCAACCATGCTCTTTATGAATATGGCAGACTGATTCTGAGAAGTGTGGTTGATTTTCCTCTTTGGTTGGAAGAGGGCTGCATCATGTGTCACGCTCATATTAGTACAAAATCAAACACCAGCAAAATTAAAAGTCTAAATTAAGCTTTGGTACAACATTTTCCCTCCCAAAAAAATACAAAATAAATAGAACAAACCCCACAAAAACTCACAACACCCATTTCAACAGAAATCATCTTCATGTGCAAATAAGCAGAGATGAAAAGCTTTCGTAAAAAGAAACATTTTCACAAATGACAGCTTTCTACATGTCCAATATAGCATCTATAGAAATCTTTATGTGCACGCAATAATATCTTACAAAAAAGGGTTTTAAAGAAAAACAATAATGTCTCAAAAGAAAACAATGAGAAGTGCATTGTAAATTAAATCATGTGATCGTAATCTGCTACTTCAATTATTCAAAATAAGAATAGTAGCCACTGTCGTTTAAGGATGACCTCTTACTCAGGTCCTGCAATATAGAAATAGGATCAATAGGTTTCCTATCTGCTTCTGAAGACAACTTCAATCTGGTCTTGGGTGGAGCTCGAAGAACACTGGCATAAGAGGCAGCTCCTTTGCCTTCTACAGGCTTGGATGGACTCTGGTAGTGAAGTTGGTTGGGCTGTGTGAGGGGATTTACGTTAGGACTACCTTTATTACAACCAGCATCTTCCTCGGTCTCAAAACTTGGAGCGCCATGGCCTAAAAAAGAAGAGATAAATATTAGCTAATTTGATGCAAAAGTGTAACTTAATCTAAATGTTTCCAAAGATAATAAATGTTAACATTTATTTCGATAATAGATTTTATTGTCAGCTCCCTTCCCCTCCTTGGTTCTCCCACAAGATGCATCATCCCCAAATGCTGTTGATGCAATGTTGCTCTGCAATAGCATCTGGAAGAGACATTAGCACCACTTGGTTCCCGTCAAGAGAGCTGTCTGTCGGAAACCCTATGTATGGTACAAACATGTATCACACCATTCAGATACAGAGCACACTGGAAGCTCCATCCTCACAACATGGCATTTGTTATTTTTTGCCTCAGATTATAATCTGAGGGTAAATTTCATAAACTAAATTTACAGGCCTTTGAGTATAGAAGACTGAAGAGTGATCTAATTGAAGCATTTAAAATGATTAAAGCATTTGATAGAGTGAATAGATATTAACTATTTCCTTTGGTGGGGTTGGTAGGGGGTGGAGTTCAGATCAAATTATAGCCAGGCTGATTCAGAAGTGATATCATAATGTCAGGAAGCACTTCTTCATACAAAGGGTGATGGAAATCTGGAACCATCTCCCGCAGAAAGCTGTTGAAGTTGTGAATTAACTGAAAATACACAAACTGAGATTGACAGACTTGGGTTAGGCAAGGGTATTAAGAGATAAAGAACAAAGGTAAGAGATAAGATCAGCTATGAACTAACTGAATGTCAGTCAGACAGGCTTCAGTAATGTTGTGTTCACACTTTAAGAAAGATTTGAAGGATTAAGTAGGTGCAGAAGAGAGTTAGTAAACACTTCCAGGGAAATGAGGAATTACAGTTAAGCGCATAGACTAAGCAGCGGTAGTTGTTCACCAGTAGCCAATAAAATGAGAATGATACTTGATAGAGGTGTTTAAAATCATGGATAAAGTAAATGGGATAAACTGTTTCTAATAGCAGAAGCATTTATAAAGAAAAAGTACAAACTTCTTGCAAATGGCAAAACAACAGAGGTTATGTGAGGAAAAGCACTGCCTATTAGGGTGCCGGAAACAAATTCAATGGTAGCCCTTCAAAGGGAAATTGGATAAACAGATCATGGAATGGTCATAGTATAAATGAAAGCCAGTTGTCCAGTCACATCTGTGCCAGCACTATGCAAGAACAATTTGGTTAGTCCTACTCTTTCACATTTATCCTGCAGCTCTGCAAATTTTTTTTCTGTACAGGTGCATGTCCAAATTCCTTTTTAAAACACCTGAATGTATCTGCCTCCACCTCACTCACGGCTGATGTATTCAGCTGCTCACCACATTGTGCAAGAATAAATATTCTTCATGCTGCTGTTGCTTCTTTCACCAACCACCTTGAGTTGGTCTCCTCTGCCTCAACACTTCTGGAATGAAAATAGTTTCTTTCGAACTACTCTGGACAGTCTCTTCCTGACTTGGGACACTATGATCAGATCCCTCAAGATTATCTATTTTAAGGAATCTATCCATGTAATTGAAGTCCTTCATCCCTGGAACAATTCTTGTAAATCTTTCCTGCATCCTCTCTAATATATGCCCATCCTGTTGAAATTGCACAGCCCACAATTGGATACAACACTCCAGCTGAAGCTGAACCAGTCTTTTCACAGAGGGTCAGCTTAATTTCTTCCATTACTTATAAAGCCTTGGATCCCATATACCTTACTGTTTTCCAATCTGCAGTGCTATCCTTAACAATTGGTGTACATTTACCACCAGGTCTCTCTGCTCCCACACCACCTTTGGAATTGTAACCCTTATTTTATATTGCCTCTTCATGTTCTCCCTACAAAAATGTATTACTTCACAGCATTAGATTTCACCCATTACATGCCAGTGATTCCATTAGCCTAGCTATGTCCTGCTGAAGTCTATTACTATTCTCCTCACAATTTGCAACACATCCAAGTTTTTGTTATCCACAAATTTTGAATTGTGCAGTGCTCTGCAACAAGAAATGTAGTCGTCTTAACAGGAATCCATGGGAAATTTATAATCGTGGAACCCCATGAGTATTTCACCAGTCTGAAAGACTGTACGTTATTACTCTCGGTTTCCTATCACTCAGCCACTTTATATCCAGGATGCCACTTCCCTTTTATTTTAGGAACTTCAACCATGCTGACAAACCTATTATGCAGCACTTGAGCAAGGTATTGACATATCAAACACTTTTTTGGAAATACATCACATCAACTGCATTACTTTCATCAATCTCATCACAAATTTCTATCAAATTAGTAAAACATAATTTACCCACATTTCCTGTTGACTTGCCTGAATTAGTTCACATTTGTTCTAGTGACAATTAATTTTGTATTGAATTGCTGTTTCTAAAGGCTATCACTACTGACTGGCCCACATTCGCTGGGCTTATCTTTATTCCTTTTGATGAATGAGGGATAACATTTGCAATTTGTCAATCCTCTGGCAGCATCCCTTTTTTTAATTTCAAAAATATACTTTATTCATAAAATATCTTTATATACACAGAAAGTCACTAAAGCAGTTCAGTTCCACACAGTAGCATATGAAGAAACAAACTTTGGAGCTTGACTCTATCCAGCAAACAAACCAAAGGCATTTCTTACTTGTACAAGATTATATTTACATCTATTTAAGGCAGTGGGAGGGTCTGATAACTGAACGGCCCCCCATTTAACTTTGTCTTTGCCCACTGCACTTTTCAGTGGCAACTACCCTAAGCTTTAGTGCGTCCCTCAGCACGTAGTCCTGGACCTTGGAATGTGCCAGTCTGTAACACTTGGTTGAGGTCAACTCCTTGCTCTGGAAGACCAACAAGTTTTGGACAGACCAAAGACCGTCTTTCACTAGTTGTCAGTCCTTCAGCTGCAGTCGATGTTTGTCTTGGTGTGCATCACGGGGAACAGACCATAGAGCACAGAGTCTTGCATCATGGAGCTGCTTGGGATGAACCTTGACAAAAACCATCCCTTCATTTAAGGAGGATTGTAAGTTTATGGCCAGTGTCACCTCAATTTCCACCCTTACTTCATTTGGCATCTTCCAATCCATCTGATCTGATCCTGATGACTAAACAACTTAAAAGATTTAATGACTTAACAGAGCCTACCTAATACTTCTCTTTTATCATGCTTTAGCGCATCCAGTGCCTTAACTATCTCCTCTTTCACTGTGACTTTGCCAGCATCTTCTTCCTAGGTAGACAAAGATGCAAAGTACTCATTTAGTACCTCAGCCAAGTGTCTTATCTCTACGTGCAAAACACACTTTGTGCACCCAGACTGGCCCTATCCTTCTTTTGCCACACTTTTACTATTTCTATGCTTATTGAAGGCTTAGAGATTTCCTTTAATGAGTGGAACGTAATTACCCCTCTGCTGGGGGCTAGGAAGTGAAGGGAAGGGGGAATGGCTGTGGATTCAGGAGGGAAAGCTGGGGAGACAGATTGCCTAATTTCCCGATTCTCCTCCCTTGCTTCCACATACTGTGGTTGGCGGTGGGTCCTCCTGATTGAGCACCCCTTGGCCTACACACACTCCATAACAGTAAAGGCTGAAACACAGACCCCCTCATTTCACCAAGTCCTATCTGACTAGCTCCAGTGATCTCTCCAAACTCACCTTAATTCTGGTCTTCCTCCTCTGGAGCTCTACTCCCAGTGACATTGCTGGAACTGAATGAGGAACCTCCAGCCATCTGATTGGCCAATAATTCTCAGAAATCTGACCCCAGGAAGAAAAACCAGTAAAATTGCCAAATGAGCTGAACTCATTTGACTTTTGTGTACTTCAAAATAAATGATCCAGTACATTCATTTCCAAGTATTATTGTTTGTTTTACTGTTTTTCTCCCTTTGGGATTGCCTCTCTCACTTGGGAGAAGATCCGAGAGAAGGCAGTTAACTACCTGCCTGTCATTGAAATTAGTTGTGGCTTTTTCAAAAAATACTGTTGCAGACTGACACCACCTTTCCAGCCAGTGGCTGGGAACATTGCTGCATCTGTTAAATTCAGCACTATTGTTGCCGGTCTCTTCCCATACTTTCTCTTCGCTTTTTATTTCATTTCTTACTTTCCTCCCCTCTGAACTTTTAATAATCAATCTGGATCTCACTTGTATTATTATTAACTTGATGTTTGTCATTCACATCATTTTGCTGCTTGTTATATGCTCTATTTCTTATCTCATCTATTTCATCAACCCTCTCCTGGAATGTGATTTGTCCTTTCCCATGGCTAACCTAGTAATAGTTCATGGAGGCCTGCCTCCTTACCTCGTCCCAGGTTTGTGAAGTGGCACGCCCCTCAAGCTGTGCACAACCAACTGTCTCAACCTAAAGGAGAGGACTTACAGAGCAGTGGTACCATTTTTGCCTCTGACTCAGAAGCTCAAGGATCAAGTCCCACTCCATAACTTGAAGCCCAAGGAAGGAGCATTCATAATACATTGAGTATTGACTTATAGGACCTTCTAACATATGTCAACATATGTCAGGCAGTAAGAGAGAGGGAGATTGCGAAACAGCGTGTAATAAGAAGAAGTTGGAGCCTCTACCATGAGTATTCAGATCTCCAAGCTACAACATGCATGAAAAAGGGTAGTTTTCCTGAGCAATACAGACGCCATTGGGTGATGGTTGACTCAGTTGGCTGTCAACATCATCAGGTTCAATCCCTGTTCCAGTTGAGGTCCTGCATTCTTGTCCACGTGATGAAGATTGTGATGCTATGAATCAGACTTGCCTTCAGGCAGAAAAGTCAAGAAAAATATGAAGAATGGAAAGGGATGCCTCTGGTAATGCGTCCTTAATGGACTATGGCAAACCTAAAAGATTCACTGTCCCCTAAAAGATTCTGAATGACAAATGATCCATTTGATTTCAGATCATTTTCCAGAGCCAGGGTGCAGAAATGCCTTCTTCTAGGTTGGACTGGAAACATACCTATCTAGGAAATTGTCCTGAACAATCAAACTAA